ATCAGACAGATATGAAAAATGTTTTTAACGCACACTTTTACATGGGCAATCTTTTCTTTAATGGAAGTTGATGTTGTTTTATAACCCGTTTTAGAGGTTGAGAAACGTTCGTTGTGAGTGTATGGCAATGAAACTCTTATACTGTACTGTACTGCGATATTGTACTGTACTGTACCAAGGAAATCAAGTAATTCATCGGGATTCGAGGATTTGAATGAGGAGAGTTTGAAAAGTGAAATGAAGTCTTGTTTATGCCAATTCGAAATATTCTACGTTTTCTGCGGAGATGCTCTTTATTTGAATACCGGAGTTTTTTTTAGCTGAAATTTCGCGGCTTCTGATGAGGTGTGAAAACTTTCCTCTGCTCTGGAAAATTTGTGATTTTGCTTCCGCACTAACTCACTGGACTTTTATCAATAAAATTGTGCAATTTTTATTATTAAAATTCAAGGCAGCCTTGTTTGCGAACTGACAAATAATTTTACCATACCAACGTGGACAACCAAATGGAATAACCTTAAAGTTTCACGTGACGTTTAGTTTTCCTGCCACGTCTTCATAAAATTTGACTCAAATTTCCCTCGAGGTTATTCCGCAGTTGAAAGTTTTGCTTCGTCGAACAAAAGCCGATTTTACGCGTGGATTTCTCGTCCCTTTTTTTCCCCGACAGAAAATCGCGCGTAAAAGCGATGCTTTCCTTCTCGCTCTCTTTCTGTTGCTCTCATTTCTCATCCTTGTATTGACCCGGCGACGGAAATTTGCATTGTGAATCAGAAAATAAATAAATAAAAAGCAGACATTGCTAAAGGAAATCGGGCTTTGAGCAAGTCCCGAAATTACGGGGAGTGGGTATAAAAGTGAAATCGGGGTACGGCACTGTACTGTACACCGTTTGGCGAGGGCTAGCTGTAGCCAGTATAGCGTCTCCCGTCGCACTCGACGTCTGCGTCAATATTTGCGCGGTGACGTCGATCAACTTGGGCCGGATGTCGCCTTGTCGAGCGGTTGATTCAAGATTACATTCTCTCTTCCGTCTCATGAAACCCTCAGATTTTAGATCGACAAACAGGGAATCCGTTGACCGAAACTGCGTGACGCGGAAGAGTTTGCAATGCGGGTTGAAAAAAAAAAAAAAAAAAAATAGAAGAAAGAAAACCGCTCCCGTCAAATGATGATTTCAGCGGAGAAATTATTTGAATGCTTTTTTTTCAATTATGAATAACAATTGGTTATTTAAGTGTGTTCGTGTAGAACGTATATTTTTTCTTGACGATGTTCCCACAGCTTTTGAACGAAGACTGTGGACACAAATGAGCTGTTGTTCTTAGCTCTGGTGAATTGGTATAAGTTGAAGGCAATGATCGATTGAAATTTATGATTTTTTAATTTCTAATCTTTTACATTAACCGTAGACGTCGAAAATGTAGCTGTGTTGTCACTTGTCAAGGATTTCCAGAATTTCTGGCAATTATTCTGTTCTGTGCAACAAAAATCCGTTGAATCGATTTCGAGAGGTAATCTTCTCTTAATTCGAAACAATTTTGTCGCATGTATCAGTTGGCCTCCAGAGGCAAACCGTGTACAGTACAGTATTCAAATAATACCTGCATTGTCATGAAAAGAAAAAAAAAAGAAAAAAACAGCCGGTTTTCTTGAATAAACCCAGTTGGGTGTGTTTCAGTTATTGACTGATGCGTGTGCAGTGTAAGGACAATGAAATCCATTTTCAGAACACCCGTTTGCCTTGCATGGAAGGCTCCCACGCTGTTCTTTTATTTTATTTGGGGGGGGGGGGGGGGGGGGGAAACACATTTCAGTTTGACCCAAGATCACTGAAATGCTAGCTCCCAGGTTGAGAAAGCCTAAGTCAGGAAAAAATCCCTGGGGCAAATTTTCTTTTGTTCTTGGGAATCTTCCATTCTAAACCATAAATAATTATAGTAGATTAAAAAATTAATCTAAAAAACCACGTTTTTCAAGTAAGACTAAAAAGAACAAAAAAATTTAGTACATTAAAAAATTAATCTAAAAAACCACGTTTTCAAAAAGCAAAAAAATAACCTTAAACGTGGTGCGCATCTATTTCATTTGTATTTCACTTCTTCCCAACAATCTCCATGCGCACCACGTTTAAGGTTATTTTTTGCTTTTTGAAAACGTGGTTTTTTAGATTAATTTTTTAATGTACTAAATTTTTTTGTTCTTTTTAGTCTTACTTGAAAAACGTGGTTTTTNAAAAAAAAAAACCTCCCGCTTTTCGTCTTGCTCCATTTGTAAATGACTTCGAATTGATGACTTACATTTACGAAATTTCAACGCTTGTGTGCCCTACAATTTCCGACGTATTCTTGAGTTTTGAATTTACGTGAGGAAAATTGCGAAAACAATCGATGTAATGATGAAAAATTAGTCAAGGAATTATTGGGCATTCATTTTTTCTGACTCCGTGCGGAAACCGACATCCCTGAAATTAAAAAGTACGAAATTCGAAATCGTCGCGTTTTGTTTGACAAATCAATCGTGTTTCTCCGAACGTTCAGACACTTTTATTGAAAATATTGGAAAAAATTTCGGCTCAAGAAGCCTTAATCGAAGTACAGTATAAATGTGTTGCGAAGCCCTTCACGCCTTCACTTCATATGTGCTCCAAATATTCTTGAAATTCAGAGCCAAAAACATTCCACAGTATCTTATGTGGTATCTATACTGTAGTCAAATTTATTTTTTCTTCTTTGCTGACTGCGTATTTCTGTGACTCGAATTTAATTCAAATTAATGTTTCCATTTTCTTGAAGCAACCGTGAAGTCCCTGGAAAATTTATAATTCCTCTTGGGACTCCGCAGTGCTCAGATTTTCCAACTTTGCACTTAATTTGCATCAAAGCTTCTCAGCACGGTTTGGTACAATATTCCGCCATTTCTTATCTTTTCAATTGTGAGATTATACAGAAACCTAACAGAGCACCCAATTATTTCTCAAGAGGTCTACATTAAAGCTGTCAGGGGCTCTGAAGCCTCTCTGGCAAAGATTTCGGATTTGTTGAATAAGGTTGGCAAAAATAAGGTGTAAACACAATCAGCCGTTTGCGGCCTGAGGTTTAAGTACCTTGACATGAGTGTATGTTTCTCCCTTTTGATTTTGTTCAAAAATAGTCAGCACACACAAATGATAGGTCTGTTCTCTTCAGAGCTCAGGAGTCAAGTGACACTTTTTTCAAATGAATTTGAGCAGATCCACGTCCTCTTCAAGCAGAAAGTTTTCGCAAGGTTTTCTGCTGGTATGTCCAATTGTTGTTTGCACAGAATCCAGTTAATTCCCATGATAATAGCTGATTCACACAAGTGGAATAAGCCTTGGAAATCATTATCTCCAAGGCTGGCCTGTTGGTGGGTTTCTTTGGAATCTTGTTTTTATTTCTGTTTGTATTTTGTTAATAACTTTTGTGTTTGTAAAAAGGTATTGGCTTTGAAATATGAGGACAATGTGGTGTTTTGTACGCCACATTGCTCTCTCATACTTTCCAATGCCAGTTCCACTTGGGCAACATCTAGTTGGCACGAGTTAATTGGCGCATCAGCGGGCAACATCTGGTCAACCTGTGACAAAAGCCACAAAAACATGGGGGTTGTTGCAAATTTATTCAGATGTTTCAAGGAACAGAGTAATTTTTCACGTCAGCCTTCCCAGTAAATTTAATCTCTCAAAGAGTGAGCACCAAATGGCAATTTCTGCTTCAAGTCTTGCCATAAAAGTGACAAGTTTTGGTAATTTGCCAAAACTTGTCCTTAGATACTTCTGTGAGAATTGGGTTTCACCTCAAGCCAGAAATAGAGAAGGACCAATGGTTAAAAAAATCCCAAATCTTTAGAAACTTGAAACAGTAACTATATATAAATTAACTGAATTGTATGTTATAATCTCAGTCCAAAATCTCAGTGGAAGTTTCCAAGTCCCTGAAAATCCTTCCTTCCAAAATGTTCCAAGCAAGGACATCACTGTATCTCAAACCTCTGTACTGTGTGGTTCTATGAGTACTTGGCAAATTTCATGTTGAAATACTTGCTGAAATATATCAACTTTAAAATAGGGTGTTTTCAAGCAGCCCAGTTGTAGTCCAACCAAATTCTTGTACCTTTCATTTCTACTTCCTTTAAAAAGGAGAACTCATTCCCCACAAAAGCAGTTACTGGAGCAAAACTACTACGGTATATACTGTATGGTCTTCTTGCAGAGGTTCTCTTGTGCATTCAGTCACGTTTGCTGATAACGTAGCCCTGATCGTTTAGAGTAGGACTCGAGAAGATCTGTTTGTCGTCGAAAGATACTGTAGCTGGTTTTCTTGGTCTATTCGTGTGAAAACTCGAGTTTGTCAGACATGTGTAAGGCTAAGGGGAAGCAGATGTTGGACTAAAGAGGAAGGCTGTGGGATTTCTGGCTTCCGCTCGGAATTCAACGGTCAAGGTGGAACTGTATGATGCTTATAAATCTGATTGTGATCGCCTTGATTCGATGATTATTTATTTTCGCGGGAAGATAATTTTTTCATGCAATGGAAGATGAAAGCCGGTATATTTTATATTTTTCGTTGGGAACGTTGGGTTTTGAGTCAGTACGATCCTTTCTTGAATTTCCTACTAAATTTAGGTGATGATGAATGGGCTAAAAGTTGTTCACATGTTTTGGGTTGAGCCAGAGTGCGTTAGAAAATTTTAGAAAAATTAGTTGATCAATGGGGAAAAGCTATCATGAAATTTATGTGAAGTACTCATGTTTTTTCTGACTCTTCGGAGCAATCGGATATTTTAGTAAGTCATGCTGACGAAAAAAAAATTTAGTGGACGACACTTAATGATATTTCATTCTTCGAAAGACATTTAAGAGTCACCGACATTTCCCGCTAAATTGCATGTGTTCTTAATGATTCAATTTCGATGGAAACTTTTATTTTTCGCATTTTAGTTTCCTTCAGCAATCGTGAAGTGATTCTGTTCATTTCAGGAAGTACTGAATATTGCGTTTTTATGCGTTTCGGTGCGTGGAAAAGGGAATGTATTACAGTACTTCGCTAACAAGTCTACGGTTTTCGAGACGATAATTGATTTTCTGCTGACGAAGATCTTTTGTCATCAAAATACAGTATACTTTTTCATGAACCGCTGATGTCGAAATATTTGAATCACTGTACAGTACTCCAGCTCATGTGATTTTTTTTTTTTCAAAGATTGATGTGCCTCTTGGCATTTATTACAACCGGAAATTGGCCTGGTACTTCTGTTTCAAGGCTTATGTATTCCCGCAAAAATTGCTTTGGGCGTAAAAAAAAAAAATCAAGGTTTTGCTCCTCTCTTATCAATAAATATGTTTAATTTTTACTGTACTCCTTTTATTACTACATTAAATCTGGCATTCTACAGTTTTTGGTTGCGCCAAATGTTCAGTTGAAATAGTTGACCTTACTGTCTGTCTGACCTGCAGGAAAGAAATCGAAGATTGCCCGTGCAGATTTATACACTGTGGGATAAGATGCTGGAAACTTGATGCTAAGTTTATTTTCCGATGAGGTGATCTCGATTGATGAACGCTTCCGGTTTTTTTTTTCAAGTTATTTTTACATATCTTCGTAAATCGTCTTCATAGTTTCGTTTTGGGAAATGTGGGCACTTTATTTTCGCGCTCAAGTGGAACGCAAGTTTTTCTCTCGCAATGTCAAATAGCACACACTTACGAATGTCATTTTCAATGCCTAATGTTTTAATTTTTTTCCGTGATCATCTACTGTATTTCCAACGTCAAACTTTTGTATGCAGCAATATAAATATTAGAACGTTATTAAACGACAAAAGCGGTGCTATCTCTTCAACTGGTTGAAAATGAAATTTTAGACGCATGTTTTGTGTACCAGTATTTAAATGGTCTGTACCTTTCGTTTTTTTTTTGAAGCATTGCAGGGCTTGAATTCTTGGAAAAATATTGCTTGATCATCAAATGTTCATTATACTAAAGAATGCACGTGGGACAGAATAACAGTACTATAATCCATTTTTATATCGAAGAAAATTCATGAAATTTTAATGAAGTCTTGGTAAGATAAAGATTTCGTTTGTTTAAATTCATCTGCATTTGTTCAGTTTTTACTGACAGTCAATTTACGAATTTCCGGTCCCGTTTCGAATTCTTGTTCCGTTTCTGAAAGGCGCAAAATATTTTTTTTAGCCCTTTTACGACAGTAAGCAACTTCAAATCACGAAAGTGAGTCGAATTCATGTAATAAAGTACTGTGTATAATTTTTTCCAAACCTTTGGGAGTGGTTTTGCAGCGAATAAGCGGCAAAGAAAAAAAAATCTGTCCTCGAATGCAATAGAATAAATTTAACGGAACCATCATTAAAATAAAATTGAAATCAAATTGAACCAAAATTAAAATTGTTGTAAGCATACGGATGCCTAGAGAAATGTATTGTTGACGTGAACCAAAATTCCAAAGCTCCGTGAATCCATCTGTAATCCACAGTAATCACTAAAATATAATAATACTGTATAACAAAAATATGATGATTACAAAGATTCAGTAATCACAACAATTCAGTAATTGAAAATTCAGTAATTTAAAAAATGCAGTAAATAAAAAAATTGACTCGTGCATACATTTTCAAGAGTATGGATAATAAAAAATATAGTGGACGGGAACCAAAATACCGCGGTACATTTGATATGAACATCCATGTGCAAAATTTCCAGCACGGCATCATTTCAACTTATTTTCTGTTATCTTTCGAGCTGACGAGACGTTTTATCCCCTCCCCTTGTCTTCCTTAGGATTACGATGTTTTTAGCATGGCATTATTTCATCTTTATCTTCTATTACTTGCCGAGCTGACGAGACGTTTTCTGCATCCTTTCTTTTTTGCATCTTCTTTAGGATTACGATGAAGCGGATTCGCGGCGTGTTCGCCTGTCGGGATATGGTGTCGAGTTGCAGATGAAGTCAACTGAATACAAGGCCCAGGACGATGCGAAGGTTGACGACGAGGATCGAGCCACTGACGACGAGGACAAAGTCGACGAGATTGAAGGATTCGTCTTTTCCAGGCTCAGGTTAGAGCTTCGTATAGTACTTTTTTTATTCTCGGCACTTCAAGTATTTCTTTTCTTTTTTTTACCCGAGTAAAAATTTGCTGCCCCCATCGATTTTTTTAGGATTGCACCAATTTTCAGTACATTGTTTGCGTGACACTTCTGGATAATGTTTTGGACTATGATCGACGCATCTTTATCTGGAATAAACGAAACCTCCTGAAATGGACCTGATTCTTTTCAGAATTTAGAGTCTCAATTGTATTGCATAAATTTGAACTTCAGGACCTTATTTTTCTGATTGTTCTTGGAAATTCCTGGAATATGAAGTTATTCATGTCATTCTTCCGAGTGCAGTAATATTTGACCCTAATTGATATCTCAAGCAAGTTGTGATACGAAGATTAATTGTACCGCCCTATTTTTAATGCAGTGAAATCTCAGTTCAGTGAAGCGAAACCCCAGGGACCCATGACAATTTTTTATAATCAATATTTTTTTAAATCTATTTTTTATAATTCCTGACATTTTCTTATTTTTATTCAAACATACCTCATGTTTTCAGTACAGTATCAATTTTTTTAGGTTTGTGAAATGTTCAGTTTGTATGGGTCTATTTTAACGTTGCTGTGACGCGTCTTTTACCATTTAAGTTCATATGAGCGTTACTGAAGATATCATATATCTGATGTAATTCATCAGCTTTGTCTAACATTAGATTGTTATGGTAACCCCTGTGTAATCCCATGGAACAAAAGAGTACAATTAAAGGTTACTTTTCTTTATTGCTTACGTAGTTGCTCTAAAAGGAAGTTTTTCATTCCTGCTATTGTCAAATCACTGTATCTGGCGTTACGGAAAATGTGGATATTTCGGGGCTTTGAATATCTAATTAACGAATGCAGGCCTAATTTGAAAACGTTTTCGGTAATTAGTATATAGGAAATTGGAGTTGTGCGGAAAACTAGTATGAATTCACCAGCTGCGTGTCATTTTTTGCAGACAATTATTCTGTTGATTATCAGTTATATTCGTATTGTTGGACATTACAGTACAGTAATGCATCAAGCGTGGGTTTTCTATTTGACCCTTTTTCAGCATTTTTTTTTTTTTTTTTTTTTTTTTTTTTTTTTTTTTTTTTTTTTTTTTTTTTTTTTTTTTTTTTGTTTTTTT